GGAACTGCCAGGAGAGGATGGTGGTGGGAAAAGAGAGAGAGAGAGAGAGAGAGACGAACGAAGGAAGGAGGACCACAAGACCAGATGCTTTGCAAAGCCATTCCGCAAAAGCAATGATAATCCTGACATTTGACCCAACGCGAGGAAGAGCGAGAGAGGGAGGAGAGAGAGAGAGAGAACGAGATGTCCTCATTTGGGGGCTGAACGAATAACTATTTCTCTAACCACCCCCCCCACCCCCAAAGAGCTCGGTCAGAAATCACACAGATCTGAAAAGGACAGGGTTAGGAATAGAACTCCCCAATCTCTCTCCCCGCCCGGCTCGAGGGGGTGTGAGGGCGTGTGTGTGAGTACGCGGGTGGGTGTGTGCGTGTGCGTGTGAAGAGAGAGAGAGAGGTGGGGGGGGGGAAACCGAGATGACTCAAGTCTAGCAGATTCCAACTGACAAACAAAATGGGTAGCACCAAACAAAGTCAAGCCATGGTCCTGTCTGACACTGAGAAGTCTCGAGTCTGTTACATTCCTGCCAACGCCAACTGACGTCCCAACAACGGGTCCGCAGTCCAGCCAGGAGATGCTCGAATGGTATTTAGTTGAGCTCAAGTCCTTGGCCCTGTTTCTAAGGGCTTTGGGGCTCACGTCAAATCATTGGCAACATCCATCCAATGTCTCATCGTGTCCAGGACAGTCGATTAAATAAACCGGTCAGGTTCCCACTGGAGAAGAGACGGTTGAGAGGCGATATGATTGAGGTCTTGACGATTCTGGACAACAGAGACCACCAATGAGCTGTTTTATCTTGTACTGAACGGTAGAACCAGAGGACAGGGCCCTGGGATCAAAGAGAGGGCGTCGAAGCAGAAACAAGTCGCTGTTTCAGTGAGCGAGCGGTAAAAGCGTGGAACAGGCTCCCATGGGGTGAGTGGGTGGGTGGTTGGGTGGTGGGGAAGAGAAAACAGAGGGTGTCGGTTCTTTCGAGAGCAAAATGAGATCTGATTTCTGTGAGGACGCCATCTCGGAGGAGATAGGGCATAGTGTAGCTGAGACGCGATGTGTCAAGCTGCCAGCAATGGCTGGCGGAAGGTGAACTGGGTGGACCTCGTTCTTCATTCATTGTACGTTAGCGAGTCTTATGTTCTCGTCGCTTGTCTGGTTAAGAGTCAGCGGCTGGTTAGAAACCGTCTTCCCGTTGGGTCCCAACTAAACATGGCCCGAGTTCAAGTCACTGCTGTCTCACACCCCAAGACCTAAAATCAGACGATAAAATCAGGGGGCTTTTTTAGGGGGGGAATGGGATGAGGTGGGGGGGCTCAGGGGGAAGATTGTGGGCGAGGAAGGGGAGGGGGGAGGGTTTCACGTTGCTTGTAGTCTCAACTCCAGCCTCAACTCAACGCTGCCCTCCACTCCAAAACCCCTCTCCTCTCTCCGCTTGAATTCTTCAGAAGACGTGTCCTTTCTGTTTGCCTCCGAGAGTCAATATCCGTTGGCTGTTCGGGGTTTTCCGCACCTGATATTCCGAGGGTGGGTTGTGGGGGGGGTGGGGGGCAAGAGGGTTCGGTGGGGAGGAAGAACGCACACGGTCATCCCAGGCTCTCGAGGTGGATGGGAGTGAGATCGAGTGGAAAGAATCCAAAGCAAATCTTTCGCTGTCTGTTCATCCATCTGTGTTGTGTCCGTCCGGTGCCCCAGCTCATCGCCCCCGGTGTGGAAAGGTTTAATACTTAGCCGGGTTCGGTTATTTGTTGGGGTTGTATTGGGAAGGGGGAGAGGAGGGGGAAAAGTGGGGAGGGGGGAGGAACCTGAAAAGCTTCATTACAGTACCTTCAATAAATATTGTACCGTATCTAAAACATGACTAATAATAACAAAAAATTATTCATATCACGCTGACCTTTTTTTAAGTTAACATTTTTGACCATGCCACACATACTGATTGACCTGCTCACTCGCTCGCACGTGAGCCCTCTCGGCTTGCAACTGACGGGTTATCTTGAGGGGAGGGGGGGTGTTGGGGGAGGGTTGGGGGGGGTGGGGGGAGGAGAGCAGGGTGTGACCTCGTTTTAATGACAAGCTGTTATGGCAAATCGTTCTCGTCATGAACGCTTCGGCTTTAAGACGCCGCCACGAACCTTTAAACCGCTTTGCAGGACTCTTACTGGAAAGTGGAGAGAGTAGAGAGGCTGCGATGGTCTCCTTCGAGCGGAGGAGGTTGAGGGGGGATTTAATCGAGAGGGGTTCACAATTATGAGAGGGTTTGATAAGAGTAAATAAGGAGAAGATGTTCCCTCTGGCGGGCGGGCGGGCGGGGAACCAGAGGGCACAGATTTAAGATAATCGGCAAAAGAACCATAGGGGACACCAGATAAGGAGATATTTTTTTAAGAACAGGGGAGGGGTGACTGGTTGGGGTAAGAGTGAGGGAGTGGGGACTGGTTGGGGTAAGAGTGAGGGAGTGGGGATTAGTTGGGGTAAGAGTGGGGAGTGGGGACTGGTTGGGGTAAGAGTGAGGGAGTGGGGACTGGTTGGGGTAAGAGTGAGGGAGTGGGGACTGGTTGGGGTAAGAGTGGGGGGAGTGGGGGACTGGTTGGGGTAAGAGTGGGGGAGTGGGGACTGGTTGGGGTAAGAGTGGGGGAGTGGGGACTGGTTGGGGTAAGAGTGGGGGAGTGGGGACTGGTTGGGGTAAGAGTGGGGGAGTGGGGACTGGTTGGGGTAAGAGTGGGGGAGTCTCAGAGCGCTTCACAGGATAGACTGTAAAGTGAATGGGCCGTAGACTTGTGGCCGAATGGTTCTATGATTCTGCGACTGAGCCGAGGTATGAAACAATCTATATCTACAAATATAGCTTCAGCAACAACAACAACAACAACTTGCAATTATAGAGGACAGCGCCCCAGAGCGCTGGGGTTTCACCCCTCACATCAGTCCCCGTGCAGTCCGAGCCCCCCACTGCACCTTTGCCTTTATAGTCATGATTGAACGATGGGGAGAAATAATAATAAAAATAATAATCATCTTCGAGTCGACCCCCCCCACCCCCCCCGGCGCCTGATCACGTCGTCGAGACGTCTCAAAGCGCTTCACAGGACACACCGTAAAGTGTAGTGACTGTGTAGCTTGTGTGACTACTGATTTCACTGGGCTTCTCCTGAATAGCTTCTGAGCGGGTGCAAATCCCCATCAAACTAACGCATCGAAACCCCCCCCCGCCCTCCCAACAGTCACAGGAGCTGAGCTGGGAAGGGGGGGGGGGTGTGGGGAGAGAGGGGGAAGAGAAGGGGCAAAAACAACCAATAATAATAACAATAATAAAGATTCTTACATGATGCACAGCCCCCTTCACGGCGGGCGGCGGGGCGGGGGGGGGGGGGAACTAAAGCACTTGGTTTACGATCGGGGGCAAAGCACCTCAAGGGGATTGACCATGGGTTTGCGGGCGAAACACGGTGGGTGGGTGGGTGGGTTAGGGTTTGTGGGTGGGTTTGTGGTGTAGGGGGAATTTGTGCACAGAGACATCCACTCCCCCCCACCCCCCACCCCCCGCAAGTAGCCGGAGAAGGGAACCAGCGATTTTATTTTGATTGGGTGGGGAGAGGGGGGATTGTCGGTCGGGGTCTCAAGTCTCTCCACTTTCCCCCCCCTCATCATTGGGGTGAGGGGGAAATGGGGGTGAAGTGGGGAGGAGGGGTTGGTGTTGGTTAAAACCCCTCCTTCTGCTCCCGGCTGCCGCACAGACCAATAGTAATTATGAATAAGGCTTTGCGTCGGGTACGACGCCCGATCGCTCACGCCTTTCGCGGGGGTACACGGCAGAGCGTAGTGACTGTGGGCTGCGCGGGGGGAGGAGCCCGGGCTCGGGTTGCGGGGCTCGGGTCTCGAAGCCGGAACCCGGGCGATAATTCCAGGGTTTCAAAACAAATGAATTAATGAATTATTTTTTTTTTTTTTAAATTTGCTTTCTCCCGTCTCTCACACACCTCTCTCTCTCTCTCTCTCTCTCCCCCCACCCCCCCCCCGTTACCCCCCGCTTCGCTCAGCTCCCCCCACCCACCCCCCCCCATCGAAACTGATCTCATCTGCGAAAGACGACTGTAACTAACAGCCGACAATTAGAGGAAAAAAAACTAACGCACAGATATTCCAAACCGCGGCGACAAGAGCGGCGGAAGCACTCACCGGAAGGGCTTTTTTCTTATATACGTAAATGTGTGTATAAATATATAGGTATATAATAATAATAATTATAATCACAATCCTGGCATTCCTTACCACATCTTCGAGACGTCTCAAAGCGCTTCACGGGACACACTGTAAAGTGCGGTGACCGTGTGTTTAGTGGGCGAAACGCGGCAGCCAATTGCGCCCCCGGCGACGTCTCCCCAAACAGTCGCGGGTTGAGTGACCAAATTATGATTGTTTTTTTCTGGAGGGTTTAACATTGTTAACCCCGGGAAAGCGATCCATCCGCCAATCGACTGACAGCCGGGTTACTGCTACGTAAACAGAGGCGCGTGTATGTACGTACGTGGGTGGAGTAAAGAAACTTGCCTAAGGTTTCGCCCTGACCTGAACCGCCGAGGAATCGAACCCGGGTCCTCTCTCTCTCTCTCTCTCTCTCGCTTGCGAGGCGATGGGTTCTAACCCCTGAGCTCCAGGGAGAGACTCCACATATAATACATACACACACACACCCTGTGTAGAGAGATATATATACACACACACACACATGTACGCATATAAGTATGACCAGAATGAAAGTAAAGCTGCATAAAAAAATCCGATACGTAGTTAGAGCCGGTGACAAAACTATAGACCTGTTGATGAAAATGGGGTGGGGGGGGGGGGGTAGGGGGACTTGGGGTGGGTGGGGGTTAGGGGTCGAGGGGTCTTGTTGCTTTTTCTGTGTGAGGAGGAGAAAGGACTTGTGGCTTCTTTTCGGTCTTAATATTTTTTTATGTGTGTGTGGGGTGGGGTGGGGAGGGGGGGTGGCGGAGGGGGGGGGGGGGGGGGGAGTTGGGGGTCTGGGTTTGAGGCATCTATTCCCGCACGCTGGCAGAGTAGGAGAACTGTGGGAAGTGGGCCTTTTGATCGCTGTCCATTGGATCCAAGCTGTCGACTGCGGGAGAAACAATAATACTATTAATAATAATAATAATAATTATTATTTCGCCTCAGCGCTCGCTCCGGGACACCCCACTCCACTCCACTAAGGGTGTCGTGCAGGTGCGAGTTACACGTTAATTCTAATCCTTGCCTTTGACCCGGCGCCCGATCGCGTCGTCGAGGCGTCTCAAAGCGCTTCACGGGATACGCTGTGAAGTGCAGTGACTGTGTGGCTTGTGGGCAGCCGACTGCGCCCGGCGACGTCCCCACGGACAGCCGGGGCTTGAGCGGACCACGTTCTTATTATTTTTTTCGAAGGGCTCATGTGTGCCCGACAGGAGGTGTGAGAGGCCACTCAACCCCACGATGGCTGGTTGTGATGTAGTTTGCTTACACTGTACATATTTTCCCCTATTGTGGGTGCAAATAAATAAAGTCCCCGGTTATTTTGGGCCACGAATGTGACCGCACTCAGCTCACAGTTCAGGCTTGTGCTCCAGTAACGACAACAATAATAATCCGACGCCTGATCACGTCGTCGAGACGTCACAAAGCGCTCCGCGGGCCACAGTTGCTGTGAGGCGTAGTGACCGTGCGTTTTGGGGGCCAACGGGGCAGCCAATTTGCGCACAGCAATGTGCCCGCAGACAGCCGTGGAGTGAGCGAGCGATTTTAACGGAGGGATTGTTGGCCAGGACACAGCGTGTGTGAGAGAGAGAGAGAGAGAGAAACTTCCTTCTCTGCAGAAATTTGGAAGGATTTTGCATATAATAATAATAATAATACTCCTCGGGTGTGACTCGAGACGTCTCAAAGCGCTTTGCGCGACACGCTGTAAAGTGCAGTGACTGTGTGTTTTGTGGGCGAGACGCGGCAGCCAACGGCGCCCGGCGACGTCCCCACAAACAGTCCCGCGGGGAGATGGAGGGTGGAGGCAGAAAGTGACGATTCTCTCAAGCGCAAACGGGATAGATTTCTGTTGGGTGGAAGGCAAACTGGATGGAGCTTAACCTTCTTTCGTCCAGCAAATTCTTATGTATAAGAGCAATTGTGCGTGTGTGTGTGTGTGTGTGGGGTGGGGGGTGAAGGTATAATAATAATAATAATAATACTCACACTTATCCGGAGGTGTGACTGTTATTGATTCAGCGGTGAATTCATCATCAAAATACCTTGTGTCCGTCTCGGATGAGACTTGGGGTTTGAATGGTGGCGTAAGCTGGGGGGTGGGGGAGGGCGGGGGGGGTGTGGGAGAGAGGGGTGGGGGAGAGAGAGAGTGGGTCAGACACCCGGCTGATCACGGTGATGGGTTTCCACCTGCGCGCGCGTGTGTGCGTGCGCGTGTGTGCGTATGTGTGCGCGCACGCGTGTGCGCGTGTGTCAGACACCTGGCTGATCACGGTGACGGGTTTACGCCTGGCGTCAAGCCAACCTGCCTCTCAACCCAAAGCCAGTTCCTCTCACCCTCCTCTCCACCACGTCCTGCCAGTTGATCGAGACGAAGAATTTGTGGTGCATCACCTCCTTGGCGTCTTCGGGGCTGCCACCCAACCTAGCGAGAGGGACGCAGAGTGGCACGGGTTGGCACAGAGCAACACACAGCCCACAGGCGAGCGTTCGAGAGAGAGAGAGGCATAGAGAGAGAGAGAGAGAGAGAGAGAGAGAGTGTGGACGACGCGATCACTTACCTCTGTTTTGGGTCTTTCTTTAACAGCCCCGAGAGAAGGGATTTTGCTTCGGGCGACAAAGTGCGAGGGAATCGGATTTCTTCCATGAGGATTAGCTCAAAGAGTTTCTCGTGATCCTGGTTGTAAAAGGGCAGGCGCCCGCACATCATCTCGTACATCACCACGCCCAGCCCCCACCAGTCCACAGCCCGACCGTAGTCATTGTCTTCCAATACCTGGTGTGTGAGAGAGGGAGGGAGGGAGGGAGGGATGGAGGGATGGAGGGAGGGAGGGAGAGAGGGAGGTATGGAGGGAGGGAAGCAGGGAGAGGGAGCGAGAGAGAGTGTGTCAACACCTCTCCACCACTTGCATCTACACAGTGCCCCCCCTGACAAAGGGTAGTGTCCTGGAGCACGATTCCGAGCCGGGCGGAGAGGGAGGTAGAGGGGTGGCGGTGGGGGGGGGGAAGCGGGAGAGGGAGATGGAAACCGTTACGGTCCTCTTTGGCCGGAGGCACGGGCTAAGAGGAAGGTCTTTAGGCGCGACCTGAACACAGGAAGGCGGGGGCAAGGCGGAGGGAGGGATTGAGGGAGAGAGTGACAGAGTTTCGGGGAGTGGGGGCTGAAAGAGTGATTCTTTTATTTTAAGGGGGGGGACGGGGGGGTTTGACCCAGGAGACTGGGGTAAGAGAATATCACGGGATACACTCTGACTGTGGGGTGACTGTGTGTTTTGTGGGCGAAATGATTCCCACGAAGAGATAACTGGTAAGATTTGAACGCACTCACCTCGGGGGCTAGATATTCGGGGGTCCCACAAAAGGTCTTCATGGTGGCTCCATCCGTTATCCCCTCTTTACACAGACCGAAGTCCGTGATCTTGATATGTCCGTCTTTATCTAACATGAGGTTTTCCAGCTGTAACACAAGGATTGAACAGTGAGGGAGGGAGTGTGAGAGTGAGGGAGTGAGTGTGAGAGGGAGGGAGTGAGTGTGAGAGGGAGGGAGTGAGAGTGAGAGGGAGGGAGGGAGGGAGGGAGGGAGAGGGAGTGTGAGAGGGTGGGAGTGTGAGAATGAATGTGAAAATATGGTTGAGTGAGTGTGAGAGGGAGGGAGGGAGAGTGAGTGAGTGAGTGAGTGAGGGAGGGAGGGTCGCAGTGGCTGAAAGCGCGGCAGGCGATGGTGGAACGGGGGGGGGCATGACAAGCAGGAGGCCGGAGCCAGTCGAGCGGAGCGGAGTGGAGGGGGTGGGTAGCGGAGTGTGGAATATTTTTTTTTGGGGGTGTGGGGGGGGAAAGTCATTTGACTTCCTACAGAACAAGTCCCGTCTCTGCAGCTAAAGTAGGATTAGAGCGAGAGAGCGAGCGCTGACCTTGAGGTCTCTGTAGACAACGTTTTTGTCGTGGAGATAGTCCAGCGCCGAGACGATTTCCGCTCCATAGAATCGAGCGCGATCCTCGGTGAAAACACGCTCTCGGGAGAGGTGGAAAAAGAGCTGAGAGAGAGAGAGAGATTGTTTGCTTGGACACACAGTAAAACCAGGGAGGCTACACTCCTCGATAATACTAATAATCCTTGGCATTCGATACAGCGCCTCACCATGTCGTCGAGACATCTCGAAGCGCTTCACGGGTACTCCGTAAAGTCCAGCGGCCGTGTGTTTTGGGGGCAAAGCGCGGCAGCCAATTGCACCCAGCGACGTCCTCACAAACAGTCGTGGATTGACGTGACTGAAATATTATTATTATTGTTTTTAAATTAATTTGGTGAAGGGTTTATTACCCCCGGAAAGCGATCCGCTAAGAACCAGGTTCCTACTGACTGATGGTAAACGGAGGTGTGTGTGTGTGTGTGTGTGTGCGGGGGGGGGGGGGTTAGGAAACTTGCCCTGACCTGACCTGTCCCGCCTGGGAACCGAACCCGGGTCCTCTCTCTCTCTCTCTCTGGCTTGCGAGGCGAGGGGTCTAACCCCTGAGCTACAGGGACTGCACAAATCCATCACTTAAAAATAAACATACTGCGAAGTGTAGTGACTGTATCCTTTGCGGGCGAAACGCGGCAGCCAATTGCGCTGAGCCGTGTCACCTACCTCCCCGCCGTTGGCGTATTCCATGACAAAACATAACCGGTCGCTCGTCTGAAAGGCGTATTTCAATGTCTGTGAAGAGGTACAGAGTGTGACTCAACAACAACAACAACTCACACACCCACCCCCACACCCCCCAACCCCACCCAACCCAACCCCAGGCGCCTGCCGTTAACTCAAGTGTGAATAAACTCCGAGCCACAGAGTGTGGGCTTCAGAGTTCAGCCTCTCTGCCCCCACACTCCGGAACTCCATCCCACGGTCCCTTCCTCTCGCTTCCTCCCGTGCCTCCTTCCAGACCAGTCCTCAAGACCCTCCTCTTCGATCGTGCCTTCAGTCGCCCTCCCACCTCTCCGCCTTCCCTCACCCCTACCCCACCCCTCCACCCGCTTTGGGACGCCCTCCCGACGTGAGAGGCGCTCTATAAATGTCATTTTGTTGTTGCTCTCACTCTCCAACCACTGAGCTACAGGACCTCCACAGCGAAGTCAAGAGCGTTACGCGTTAATAATAAATCCGAGAAGAATGATCCCGGCCTTTGACCCGGCGCCTTGTCACGTCCTCGAGACGTCTCAAAGCGCTTCACAGGATACGCAGTAAAGTGGGTGAAACGCGGCAGCCAACTACGCACAGACAGTTACAGTGACATGTAACCCAACTCTCTGGGGTGGGTGGGGGGGGGGGTGTGGGGGGAGATTTAAAAAAAAAGCCCTGCGAGATCCCGTTACAGAGTTTGCAGTGAGCACACAGTTCTGCAATCAGGTCGCGTGATGCAGTCAGAATATCTCGTCTTACCTCAGTTACAGCCTTAAGAGGAGTCAGAGGAATATTGAGGAGAAAAGGGCTTTGTAAATTGACCACAGCCTTTGTCTGTAGGGAGTAACGTGTGTTTTTTTCTTCCTGTGACGGTCTCGAGCCCCCGGTTCCTGAGCCGGGAGGGGCCGCAGGGTCCCGGGGCACTCACTGCTGATGGCAGCACAGCCCGGACCGGCTCACCGGTAGGACCTGGAAGGGCCGACCAGTCACTGGGGGCAGGGAATCCTCCCCCTCAGCTCCTGTTAACCCCACAGCCAAAGCCCCAACTAACTAACGGGGAGGGGGGTCCGAGCTGGACACGCAGCTCTCTCGCTCTCTCTCTCTCTCTCGATGGCCGAGCTGTGTGTGGGTTTAGCTGGTCAGACTCCAGCTGTTACCTTCAGGCAACTCTGCGCAAGGCTGCGGACCGGTAAAACTGTGTGAAGTGATCACGGTACTCACTGTTAAAAAAGGATGTCGTGTATTCTGTAACACTCGGCTCTCTGTAACAGTGTGGGCAACTTCATCCTACAGAAAGTAGAGAGACATTAATAATAATAATGATAATAATAACCCGTGCATTTGATGCAGCGCCTTATCAAGTCTTCGAGACGTCTCAAAGCGCTTCACACAGCAATTTCCTGTACAGCGCAGTGACTGTGTTACTTTGCAGCGTCCCACAAACAGTCATGGATTGATTGAGTGACTACATTATTATTATTGTTTTTAAATTTAACTTTACTTGAATTTTGCTTCTGATGTGATTATTTATTACCCCCAAGAAAGTGATCCGTTGATCGACTAACAACCGGGTTCCTACTGACTGCCGATAAACGTGTGTGTGTGTGTGTGTGTGTGTATATGTGTGTGTGTGTGTGTGTGTGTGGAGTGAGGAAATTTGTCTAACGTTTCACCCTGACCAGACCCGCCCGGGAATCGAACCCGGGTCCTCTCGCTCGCTTGCGAGGTGAGTGCGAGTTTGCAACGTCCTGCAGTCTCCGACAATACTCAACCCGCAAGGAGGGGAAACAGCTCCGCGTGAGACTTACTTTCGCAATAATTACTTCTTTTCTAAGGATTTTCATGGCGTAATAGCGACCCGTGGCCTTCTCTTTGACAAGAATGACTTTGCCAAAGGTTCCCTTCCCCAGTAACTTCAAATAGTCAAAGTCGTTCATCGTCTGAAAGGAAAAGAGATCAGATCAGCACTGGACCCCTTCTTGTGGCTCAGTCTGTCAAAGAACGTCAGAATTTCCGAGGAGAAAGAAGGACCAGGGTCCACCTAGTTTGCCTCCCACCCACCTGCCCATCGCTTAAACTATACTGTTCCAAACTATACCCTGTATCCCAGATATTATTTTCGAGCTGAAATCTATCTCTCATTCGTTCTTAAAACATATAACATCTCCCCCCCCCCCCCCACCCCTCCTGATGGAGCCTGTCCTGTTCCGTGCGTTTGTTACTCACTGAAGGTTTCTGCAGGTTTGATCTGAACTTTCCCCATTCGTTCGCAGGCTGCGTCCTCTGATTCTACTGCGATCCCCCAGTCGACTGACAACCGGATTCCTACCCACTGCCGGTAAACAGAGGTATGCGCGACTGTGGAGTAAGGAAACTTGCCCGACATTTGGTCCCGCCCGGGAATCGAACTCGGGTCCTCTCGCTTGCGAGGCGAGGGCTCTAACCCCTGAGCTACAGGAACTCCACCTTCCTCCTCGATCGCAACCTCGCTCATCCTCCCATACCCCACCTTTGCCCCGTATCCCGATCCCCTGACCTAATAAATATCGATCCACCTCAG